GGTTTAAATCAGTTTTAACAGAGGGCCTGTGACCCAGAAAATAACTACTCACTTAACCTAAAATCTCTGATTTCCTGCTCTGTATCCTGTTCACTGCTCTTCCCAGCATGCCTGATTAGAGACCCTCCTCTTCTGATGCCTCAGCGCTTGCTGCCACCACAGTTGCTTCTGCTGATTGCCCCAGGGCAAGCTGGAACTCAATCTGGACCCAGAGTAACTGTCACCACTGCTAGGAAATATTTTGGCTTCCTCAGACCCCACATTCAGCTACCAATTCCCACACTGACCCAAGAAGTACTTTTTCCAGGGTTTTCTGATAGCTTATGCTATGGTCTGGATGTTTGTGTACCCCCAAAATTCATGTGTTGAAGTTTTAACCCCCAAGGTGATGGTATTAGGAGGTGGGGTCTTTGGGAGATGAATGAATGGCATTAGTGCCCTTCTCAAAAGGTCCTCAAGAGACACCTTCCCTCTTCCACCATGTGAGGACAAAGTGAAAAGACAGCCGTCTACGAACTAGGAAGTAGACACTCATCAGATACTGAATCTGCTGGTGCCTCAAACTTGGACTTCCCAGCCTGCAGAACTGTGAGTGATAAATTTACCTGGGCAGTTTATATGCCACCGAGTTTATGGTATACTGTCACAGCAGCCTGAACAAACTAAGACTCTCAGCCTGGTTGATTTTATCACCTAATGCCCTTTCACCCTTCCTGTGCAATCATGTGTGTGGTCTATGATTGAAATTTCCCTTGTTCCCTGGCATCACTGAAGTTGGCCTCCTGTATCCTGTCTGTCTCCACAAAACTCCTGAGTTCCCACTGCTGGGTCCTGTCCTCCTTTTTGCAAACAACTGCTACTTCATCCTAGACTACAACAATAATGATGATGACACCAATAATAATTATAGCAAGCATGCAGTGATTAAAATATGCTTGCCAATATACTTAATGTTTTCCATACTTTGCCTCATTTCTCTTGACAACTGCCAAGATAGAATTGGGATTTTCAATAGAACCTTCCATCTGATAGTAAGTATCCTTCATTGAGCAACCACTATATGGCAAACATTTTGCTAAGCTGTACATGTAATATATGCTATCCCCACAAACATAGAGAGTGGGCATTTTTATCCCCATGTTATGAAAGAAAGGACTGAGAAACAAAGAAGCTAAACGACTTGCTTAAGTTCACACAAATAGTAAACTACGATAAAATCTTAGGATCTGTGTGCCAGAGTTAAATACACTGGTCTTTGGCCGGGCGTGGTGGCTCACTCCTATAATCCTAGCACTTTGGGAGGCCAAGGTGGGAGGATCGCTTGAGGCCAGGAGTTTGAGACCAACCTGAGCAAGAGCAAGGCCCTGTCTCTACAAAACATAGAAAAGTTACCTAGGCATGGTAGCATGCACCTGTAGTCCCAGCTACTCAGGAGGCTAAGGCAGGAGGATTGTTTGAGTCCAGGAGTTTGAGGTTGCAGTGAGCTATCATGCTGCCACTGCACTCTTGCCTGGGCAGCAGAGTGAAATCTTGTTTTACAAAAAATAGGTTGGTCTTTTCCTAAAACCCTTGCCTCACTCTCCCATCAAAACCAATGGCCCTCTCTAGCCTGAGCAACAAAGCGAGAGACTCTGTCTCAAAAAACAAAAACAAAAACAAAACCAATGGCCCTGGTGGACAGGCCTAGTCCAGGCCCAGACTCTGTCTCACTGAGTTGTTTCTGGACATGATATTTATGTACTGAGTGTATTCTGTAGCACTTGTATCTGCTTGTAGGTTATAAGTATGTGTTCTTCAGTTCCTTTCCTTGTTTATTTATTCATCCATTCATGCATGCATTTATTTGCTCATCATCTATCTATTGGATGCTTATTCTGTGCCCAGCATTCTGCAAAAATTAGGGAATTGAGACTGGGAAAGTGCAGCTTGGAGGCAGATGTGGTAGCAAATACAGCAGTGATGGAGGTGAGGAGCTGGCATTTGTGAGTCACAGCCAGCAGATGGGATCTAAAGCTGGAGTTGAGACATGAAGGGTCACCCAGAGGAGGACAGCATTTCAATCAGAGATGAAATAATTTGGTAGGAGCATGTGGCACGTTCAGGGAGCCACAGTGGGTTTGGCAAGTGCTGGGGATGGGGCAATTGATGGTGCAGGGGATCAGGAAGATCACTAGCCTCCCTGCATATCCTATCAAAGAGTGTAGGTTTTATACTGAGGCATAGGAAAGCTTCAAATTAAGCCTGTCATTCCTCTGCCACATAGAACTTGCGTTAGTAGGGGGTAGACACCACATCTTTTATTTTTTCAGAGGTTACCCCTTATGGTAGTAGGTTTATATTACTTTTGTAAATGGAGTTCCAGTAATGCTTGTTGAGTGGGAATTTATAATCTAATGTGCATTCGTTCAGCCAATGCCTAGAGAGCTAACACTATAACATACTCTATCATGTTTCGAATATTCTTTGGCTCTTTCCCTTTCTCTAGTCAGCCCTAAATAGTGAAAGGTAGTCAGAGATATGTCTGAAAGGCTTACTAATTCTTACTAATATGTGGGGTTGTCAGAGATTAGTGCACTCACAACTACCTCTGCTTGGGAAGTTCACCTCCTGGTGATAAATTTGGTCTTTACCCCATAAATTCAATCTGATGACTGGCTCCTTTACATTATTCCCAATTCTAGGTTTGGAGCTCCTTCAGAAAGTGAGAATTACTAAAAATAATTACTAAAGAGGCAGGGAACATTTTAGGGCCATGTGCCTTAATTCATGTTTCCTAGTAAAACTTGACACCTGTAAAATTTTGTTAAGTTATGAACTCATCCAAGGAAACACCTGCATCTTCTTTTTTACATGTTTTAGTCTGTCTCAGTGCCAGTCCTCCAACAGGCTGGGGCATCGATCCTGGTTACCCCCAGCCCTTCTTCTCTGCAGGGACCTATCCCCTGCCAAATGTAGCATATGGCATCATGACTCAGAAGACAAAAGAGAGAATGAGCACAATAGTGACAAAAGTTTCTGATGAGTTTCCCCCTTCCTCGTTTCACCCCTAATTGTGGAGCCTAAGAAGGGGGAATTTGATTTTTGGAGTGAATGAATATAAAATGCTTTCTTGCTTTCAATGTGGTCCCTCATCTTGTAGCTCATTATTTCTTTAAACATGCCTAAGTGTGGCCTGGGAATTTCACCTTCTTATGCAACTTAAGTACAAGTAAAAAGGTGCTTTGGGTGCGCTGAGTGTTTGATCCAAAGCTTTCATGTGGCTTTCGCCTCTCCTTGCACTGGTGTGAGATAAAAGGAAACTGGCTGTTTTCTTGTTAAAGATCAAGGTAATCAGGAAGGCAATTCAGGACATAACCATGATCGCTGCAGGGAGAGGAGGCCCGAGTGATGTTTTTCTATTAGACCCAGTATGTCAGATTTATGTAGCTGTCAGAAAGTGTATTTCATTTCATGCCTATTTGTGATTTCTTTGTTGTTGTTGTTGTTGCTGCTGCTGCCAGTTTTAAATTCCTGGCTTCATCCTTAGTAAACTGATGAGGCTGTTGTTAGTGGTGCATTCCAATGGTAAGAGAAGACTGAATATTCTAGGTTCATACTATGTTCCCACACTATTCTTCACGAATATTAGCCTTACTCTTTACTCACAGTAGTGCTACAAGGTGGATGATATTATCCCCATTTTACAGATTAAAAACAAAACAACAAAAAAACAGACCCTGGGAGTTTAAGTAACTTGCTCAGGTTATATTGCTCGTGTTAGTGGAGCTGTGATTGAAACCCAAGCAATCACCGCCAGGACTAGGATGAGGTAAGAGAGGTGCCCAGGGCACAAAATTTAAGGAACAACTCTCTCTCTATTTTGTGTAAGTTCAAGGTTTGCACCCCAGAGTCAGTGCTTTCTTAAATCCTTTCTAAGTCCCAGCCTTGCAAGCAGCCTTAATTTGGAATCTGGGTACTTAATTCTTGTACATCCTTCCAGTCTTGTCCTCATCCTTGTGGATCAGAGTCAGGCTTCAGTGGGGAAGTAGACTGAACAGCCTGAGAGAGTATATGCAGGTGCTGAAGAGATCAGCAGAGCTTAAAGCAGATATTTTTCTTTAGGAGGTCTCCCTTGCCCTTGGCTGGGCATTCTTCTCTTGTACTATGTTTCCTCCCAGTTTTGCTTATGGCTCTGTCTCACTCCCTCCTTCTCCAGTACCAGAAGAAAAAAGACATTTTTAACTTGGGAAGTAAATCTCTGCATCCCATAGAGAAAATGTGAGAGCAGCATCACAGGATATGGGGCTTAGTCCAGGCTGGCTGCTTCCAAGAGCATCATTTCATAGCGTCAAGTCCAGACGCACTCTGAGCCGCATGTTGGGCTCAACAATAATCCATGGCTACATATCTATAAGGAGTCTCGGGAACTCAGAAAAGAGTCTTGTGAAGGGAAGTCAAACTTCCTCAGAGAAAAGGAAAAGGTAGGAGATAGTCCAGTATCCCAGGACATCAGTGAAGAACTCCCCTCCCCTTAATATCTTTTACTCTTGAAAACCCTTAAAATAATCACTATATCATTAAGACAAAGAGGTCCTCCTGTTCAGTCCTGTACAGGTAAGCCTTAGGAAGCCATTTGGATTATAGGCTGACATTTCTAGAACAATCTCTGGTACACTTCAGTGATGGACCAACCCTTCCCTTGACTCACGGACCATGGAATAAGCAACCATAGCACTCATGAGCATGGGTGGAGAGCCAGCAGCAGCTGGTGCCATGGCTGAAATGAAAGAGGGTGAGTGTTATGATCTGGTAGCTTCTTTAAACTTCTCAGCATCACATTGGAAAACTCCTAGATGTTCTTCCAGGCAAACTTTTTACCCTGGAATCTGAGCAGTCTGGTTGATGATGGCTCCTCCTCCCTTGCAGGCTCCATGGCAACAGAACCCTGTGAGGAGGACCATGCCAAATGGACACGTAGTGCCAACCTAAGGCACACTGAGCTGTGAGAGAAAATCACTTGCCTCTTTGATCAGGTTCATAAATCTGGGTCCAAGGCGCCATGGCTTGTGTCGATGGCACTGTAGGGAGCTGACGGTCAGTTGGGATGCCCGGTGGGAGGCGATGGCCACCATGTACACAGCGTCGTACATCAAAGCTGCTTCAGTCTGTAGGGGAAAACACACACCACACCTTCAGTTCCACCTTCCTTCACCTTCCTGCACCTGTGCAATCCCTCTCCCTGCTTCCACAGCTCCTGTCTGACCTCAAGTGTCATTTATTCTTCAGCTGAATAGTTTCCACTCTCCAATACCTATTTTTCTCCAAAATAATACCTCACAGTCCAGAGTAAATTGGAATCATAACTCTGCTTTGTTTTGAGTTCTTAAAAAAAAATCACACACACACACATGAAGAAAAGCAACTCAGGTCAGCCACAAAAGACTTGATTCAGGGAACAAATAATTTGTAGGGTATCTTCTGTTAAACACAGTGTTACAATCCACTACATTGAGCTAGAAGCTTTCAAAGCTCACTATTTCAGCATCAGATTTTGCTTCCCAACATTTATCTAAATCTATTAATATATCTACTTACTGGTTTATATTTGGTAGAAAGAAACTGCTGCAAGTAAAACCAACAGATGATTTCCAGATAAGGATATGTATATCGGTCACTTCCATTTACAAGAGTTGAAAAGGTTGTAGTCATGGAATAAAATTCTACAGCAAGTTTGGGGAGACCCTCTGAAGAATGGATGCGTGTAACTTGCTCAGAATGTACCTGCTCTTGCTAGCATGTGCTTTTCTGATGGAGACTGGAAGCAGTCATCCCTTTCTGGGGCTGGGCATCTCATTCTTCCCTTCCTCATGAAATTTTTCTCATTCGCAGAATTTTACACAATACTTACAGCATTTTATAAAATATACTTCCCTGTGGTTTTCTTAAGAGATAAAATCTTATAATACTCTCACATCTGACTTGAGGGTTTTCATTGCAATTTCGAATATATTAGCTCATTTGAAATTATCAAGTAGTCCCCCAAATAAGCAAAACAGATAGATAAAGCTATTTATTATATGGGAAAACTGACCTCCAGGCAAAATGTTGATTTGTGGAGGGATGTCTATCTATCTATCTATCTATCTATCTATCTATCTATCTAAAATAATTGGTGAAGTTAAACTTAGAATCCAGGTCATAGAATGAAGGTTATAGTGTGGGTTTCCAAAATTAGTTGATTCATTCAACATTCACTATGCATTGATTGATCATGTCCTGATGGAGGTGGAAAGAGAGGATAGGGATTACTACATCTTGCATTCTATCAGTCTTTGAGGCCATGCCATACCTCTACTTTGAATCCTTATTATTCTGTGCAATCTCTATCATTGCATTTTCCATATATTTATTGTCATTTATATTTAGATCTGTGTCTTGGTAAGAATATGGGTTTCTTGAAGGAAGAAAGTGCTCGAATTCAACTTTTGGTGGCTATTCAACTTTTTCTGGCACATAAAAGTTGTTGAATAAATTGTTCTCTGAAGGAATTCATATTATTTTATGCCTTAAAATAAAAGGTATTTTTGTGAGAACTGTATGATTACAAGGATTTAAGATGTAATTTTAAGGTAAATAATTTCACTTATACCAATATACTTGACATACAGAAGTTAGACTGGTGGTGGTGGTGGTGGTGATTGCTAAAGCTTAAAAATGTTTCAATCATTCAGTTTAAGATTGATACAATTCCTTTTATAGATGAGAAAACTGAGAGTTATGGAAATTAAGTGACTGATACAAAGCTACTTTGTAATCAGTTGCATGGCCCAGGTTTGAACACACATATGATTCTAGTGCCCATGTTCTTTACCATTCTGCTATACTGATTTGGTTTAATTGGAGGGAGAGTAAGCTGTTGACAGACTGAGACTTTTACAATGAAATCAACACTAATAGCTGATGTTTATTGAGCACTTAATAGGTCATGTGCTGTTCTAAATCCTTTGCAAACATTGAATTTTCATCACAACCTTTACTCCTTTATGGATGAAGAAATAAAGAGATTAAATTGTCTCCAAATTAGTGATGAGAAAGCCAATATCCAAACCTGTGAAGTTGGTGCTGTAGTTTATGCTCTTAATCATAAAGCTGCGCTACTTCTAAACCAAGTTACCAGTCTGATGATTTAATAGTCAGAGTAATAGCTCAGTAATGGTTAATATTCATTGACAGTTTACTACATGCTAGGCACTACAAAGCATTTTACATATATTATCTCCTATAATTATTGAAATTAAACTTTTGAAATAGATCTTGTCCTCATTTTACAGATGCAGAAGTTGAGGCTTATAGAGTTAGAATAACTTGCCTAAAGTTATGCAGCCAGTAATGAAAGAATCAAGAATTCCAACTCAGAATGCGAACTCAGATTTCAGAGCTCAACATCCACAGCTACTATGTTATGGCAACTTGGAACTTTTTATCAGTAGAATATACTTTTTTGCAAATTTGTATGTATATTCATTAATTCAGTGAATGACTGATTTGATAGAAAGGTGTAAGGAATGAAATTCCAATGGTCTGACTTTCCATAAACTTAGTTTAGAAAGAATTTGACTTTCTTTCTCAAGGCTGACTCCGTTTAGAGACGTGCAATAAATGATTCAAAACTATCAGTCTGGCCAGTGCTTTTAAAGTTCAAAGAAGCAAACTATTTTATTCCAAAAAATATGTTACCATATGCTTGCCATAAAATGTTTTCTTAGGTGGGGAGAACATTTACTTATAACTATTTTACAGTGCTAATAAATTACCACTGAATTTCTCCCCCTTTTCAGTTTTGTGCTGGAGAGCTGCTTACTAGAACAGCAATTCTCAAATCATTTTAGGTAATAGATAATGTAGTCGAATTGGCCTATGTTTCCAATTTTCTTCTTCCAAATGTGTTTATGCTCACATTTTATATATATCTAAAGGCTGGATGAAATCACATTGCTCAATGTCTCTAGGAAAACATTTTTTTTTTTTTTTTTACCACAACCTGGATCATGAAATAAGCATATTGAAAGCAGGCTTCTCCTTAATACACAATGTTTTGGTTCTTACCACTATTTGCAGTAAAGGGTTAACTCAGTGGCCTTGGGGTGCTCAAACCCTGCACATTCTAAAGAAAGGGCTAGCCCTTGGCTGGATCCTGGGAAACAACCTTTAAGCCCTTGGCATATCCTGATAAGAGTGTCTTTGTTTTCCTTGGATCTCGGGAAATGTCAGATAGTTGATGTTAAAAATGTGACTTGTGGTCAATGCCTACTTTGTTGGCCTTGGGCTTTGGGCCATGCTGTACTGATTTGACTTCTGGAGGGGCTGGATACTGAGTAACTCAGGTCAGCTACCTGGGTGCTGTATGCCTATGTGATTGACCCCAGTAAAAACCGTGGACATGAAGTCTCAGGCGGGCGGCCCTGGTTGGCAATGCTTCATGCATGTTGTCACATATCATTGCTGAGAATTAAGGGTTGTTCGTGCAACTCCACTGGGAGAAGATATCTGGAAGCCCACACCTGATTTCTCCTAGACTCTTCATGTCTTTTTCCTTTGCCAATTTTACTGTCTCCTTTTGCTGTAATAAACTATTGCTGTGAGTACAATTGGTTTTCGGAGTTCTTTGAGTCCTAGCAAATCATCAAACCTGGGGATGGTCTTGGGAACTCCCAACACCAACCAACGAGATATTACCTCACCACAGGAACAAACACTAAACCACTATATGACCGTGTAGGGTCCACATACTTTGCCGCCTACCTGTTATGTAACTGTTGTAAAAAGCTGGAGGAGATCAGAGTGCTGAAGAGAGACCTATTTTTTGGAAAGCAAATGAACAAAAAGCATAGATTGCTCATTTTATCTCCAAATTTGGAAACATTTACTAACCTGGTATAGAGATACAAGTCAGTTTTCTAGGAGAGAAGCACTCCCTCAAAATACCACTTTGCCCTAATTTCCTGAACTACCTTTCTAGCATGGTGTTGATAAGTTGCTCAACTAAACTTCAAATGTCATATCCATGGCACAGAGATAACAGGAATTTGCCACTAAATATGAACTGGCTGGTTTTCCTCTTTTTTGAGACTTGTCTCATTGAAGTAGCGAGGATTTTGGTAAGGGTGGGAGGTCTAGTGCTTTGCCTGTTGGAGCCTCGCCAGAAAGCACAAGCTTGTGGGGGTGGTTGCTACTGAGGAAGCCGAAGAGGTAGAGGAGGAGTCAGCATCTTGCACACCTGAGCACCTGGGAGGTAGAGAAGAACCACTTACAGTGAAATGGGATTTGGAAATGGGTTGGTGGAGGTAGCAAAGATATCACCACAATCTAGAAATTCACTAATTAGGGTAGCAACCCCAGCAGGTCCTGGTAGAGAGGCCTGGTAGAGAGGCTGGCAAATTGTCTCAATGAATCTTTACCACCTTTTGAGAAGTGCAATGAGGAATAGATAAAAAGGATTATATGTAGGAATGAAAAAAATACACCAGTATGATTTTACTGGTCATACAAGATCACAAAAGGCCCAGGTAAGAGCCCCCTTGGGCTACCTGTGCAAACCAAAGAATGTATTGCTTGCAAATAAATAGATTTCTGCCCTGGTATTTCAGAATGTCTTTTTTTTTTTTTTGTTAAATACAAACTGTCAAAACATCAGGTATCATCAAATAAATTCAATTCTATGTCCTAAAGCCTTCATGTGTGTTTCCTAACTTAATCCATAGAGTAACACTGCAAAATATTATTATACAGATTTACAGATGAGCAAATAGGCTCAGAGAAGCTAAATAACTTGCTTAGGTCACTTAGTTAGGAGACATAGCCAGGACTTAAATCTAGGTTTTCCTTATCTGGAAAGATCTTGCCAGCTGCATGTTATCTTTCAGCACAGGTATAGCAGTGGACACTCAAAGATGGCTTCCCTGTGGAGCAGAGTGTAGGAAATGTTCACATGTAAGAGATCAGGAGAAGGCTCCTGACTTAGCTTCGCATTGTGAATGCACTGGAAGAACTGGAAGGCAGGTGCCAGATCAATGTTTTGTTGTTTTCATGACTCCTGAGCAGTATTGAGTTATATACAGTTTTGGTCCCCAGAAAAGAATCTTATCTAAGAATGGACCATTCTGTTATCCCAGTCTATACAAAAGCCAATAGACGGAATCATCCCAAATGCTGAGAAAAATTTAAATATTTTTAAAATATTTTAAAAATAAAATAAAAGGGAACTAAGTAAAAGGGAACTTTTACTTAGTAAAATAAGTAAAAGGGAACTAAGTACATTTTAGAAATACTCTTTTTTTTTCTATTCTTAAGATGTATTTTAATAATGAGTTTCACTGTTTTTGAACTTTATTGACTCAGTAACAGTTTTCTTAATAACTCAACTTTAACCCTATGTTTAAAGTTAATATTTTTTCTGTAATTATACCTTCTCTTTATTGTTCTCATTATTCTTAAGTCTGTTTCCAAGATTTTTAAACTTGGGCATGACTGACTCCTCTATTTTCAGATTTGAATGTTTTGACATATATAATAATATCCTTTAAAGATTTTTTAGTGAATGAAATTCCAAGAAATTCTTAATAGTTAAAAATATTAAAGAGGAAAACAGATAATTAGGTAGGAAGTCAAAGCACATGAATTTTCAGGGAAATTTACTTTAAATAGTGGTATAATACATATCATTTCAGAGGATGCAATTCTATTATAGTAAAAACATTATTTAAATATTAATAATGGGTAGTCCATGGTTAATTTTTTAAAAATATTGTTCACTTTAAAATAGTCTCTAATTTTACTAATCACACATATTTCTTATTTATAGGAACTCTCTTTACACTTCTATAAGAATATTTCAGGGCTAACTGAATATTTTCATTTAACATCTTGAGTTTCAGTACAAGCTTATTCATACTTACTTAGTGTATTCATTCCTTTATTCAATACATATTTGTTGAGGGTGTACTTTGTGCCAGGCCTTTTCTAGTGCTAAGGATAAAGTATAATAAAAAAAGATAAAGTCTCTGTCCTCGTGCAGTTTATATTCTTGTAGGAGTAGATTTATTTTTATTCTCCCCTTCCCCTGAGGAGTAGATATTGAACAAACAAATCAAAATGTAACATATCTGGTCAAAAGGTCTGTGAAGAAAAGGAAAGCAGGTGAGGAAAGAGAAAATAGGGAGGGGCTGCTGTATTCCTCGGTGCTTCATAGAAGCCCCCTCCGGTGAAGTGGCATTTGAACAGCCTGGATGGTGGATGGTTTTAGGCAGGGGGAGCAACAAGTGCTTGACATGCAAGAATTAGTGAAGTACAGGATCTGCAGTATAGACCCAGGGGAATTGAAACCAAAGGACTTTTTATCTTTTATCCTTAAGGTAGAGGAGAAAGAGTTTGGAAAGACGCAACTTAAGAGCAAAGATGTGTTAGTATTGGGCCTAGACTTGGGTACATGGGATATGTTCTCTTGGCTCAGTGGTTTGTCCATTGGACATCCCTTGATATGCCCTTTCACCTCTTCATGACTCAGTCTCCACATCCCCAAATGAGCCACATCCAGGAGAAACAGAAAGTAGACAGTGAAATGCAAAGCAAATGACCCGTTGGATAAATAAAGCTCAATATTGTGCTCCAGATAATTAATATCAAAGCTATTATCTGCATGACTATTGGATCAAATTTCTAGTGGGTGCTGCACTCTACTACCCCCCTTTTTTTTTTCTTTAACTAGTATTGGCATGACCTGGCATAGTTATTTCCCTCACTTTTACAGCACCCTGGTGAGCCAGCCTCTTCTTGTCTGGTAAATCCTCCCTTTCCTTTTTATAGTTAATAATAACAGTAAGATCACAACATAAAAAACCCTCTCTTAGTTGGAATGACAGTAAAAACTTTAGGGAGAACAGGTTCTCTTCCATCCACAGGGACTCAGCTGTGTCAGGCTTCCTACCCATGGGACTGCCATCAGCCCAGGCCCCCGGCAGCCCCCTGGGGTAGTACCATCGCTTCGTGCTCAGCCTGATTCTGCGTGAATTGTGAGGCTCTGTCACTGTTGTCAGTGATCTTCCTCATCTCAGTCAATATGTACAAACTGCTTTGTCAGCTTAGTATAATTGAACGCACAGACACTTTTCTTTGGTCAATTAAGCCATACTTGTGATGAATATTCAATATTTGGCATGCATCCATAATCTGTGTTAACATAGCTTCAAACTGTAACTCTTTTAGCAGTACAAATTAAATTCAGGGAAAAAATTATTTGAGATCTCATCCTGTGATAGAAATCTCACTGGAAGGCAGGGAGGTGGGCAGCGGATTTTGAACTGTGTTTGAACTCACTGGAATTTGAAATCCAAGAGGAAGAAGAGAAAAACTGACATATTAGCATCTCTCTCTCTCTCTCTCTCTCTCTCTTTCTCTCTCTCTCTCTCAGAAGTCTAGCATTTCCCTGGATATTCTCTACTTGTTCTTATTCAAAGCAATGTTTCCAATCACCCCAAAGCTCATTTGTACCAAGATGTTTTCCACCATTACTTTCCAGCTCACTTTGTATATTTTAAAAGTTATTTCAGGTTTGAAAAACAGGGAGACTGAACATGGACTCATCCAGAACCGCTTCATTCATTCGTTTCATTTTTTTTTCATGTGTTCCTCATAATAAAAGAAACAAAGAAATCCCAAGTTCATTTCTCTGAGAGATGATACCTTTCAGTTATCAGTAAATCGCATCTTAAAAGCAAGAGTGCTTCTCCTGATAATGGGAACAGGGAATAAAATACTATGCCAATTTAAAATGCTATTTCCTGTCCATATTCCCGATATCTTTTTCCTTAGATGCCACGGTTCCTACACAGAAAGCATTTTTTCTTATTATTTTCTGCTATTTTCTTCATCACCCAGGGAGCTTCATTAGAGAAATAAGGCGAAGGTAGGTGCATTTGACAACTAGAGAAAGATGGTGTTAGCAAGGAGCTCTGTGATGAGACAGTTCACGATTTATCTGCTCAGCAGAGAGCCTGCCTTGTCAGGAGGCGGACGTGGCATCTGCTTTAGGAGCAGCATATGGCTGGTGCTAAGCGCTGTCAGTGTCTGCAAAGGTGTGCCTGTACGCATCTAGGACAGGGAGACTGGGAATGCATGACTGTATGTAAATCCAGCAGTTTCCCACATCTCCTGAGCTGGCTGAGAAGGGCAGAAGGGGGGAAAATGCAAACTGGTTCTGCAAACACCATAGGCAGGTTGTTCCTCCTCCCTCTCCAAGGCCACAGTGCCAGAGGTAAACCTCTCTTGGCTTGCCCTTGCTTTGCTTCCTGCTTTGTCTTCATTTGGTCGGTGGTGGTGGCTACTCTTGTCAACCTCTTTGTCTGAGGCAGGTACAGTTAGGAAGCTAAAAAATAGCAGTTTTTACAGTAGCCAGTCACAGCCTTTCGAAATACCTAAAAAGCTCAATCCATCGTCTCTCGCACAAGTCAAGGCACACGTTATAACACGTTCCCCGCACATTTTAAAGGCATATGAGATTCTTAACCTAACCCCTAAGGCAGTCAAGCATTCTCTCTATGTGTTATGTTTTAAGACTACTTACTGTCATCATGCCATCCAAGAGGCCAGTCTCGGGCCTGGGCGGGGCCTGCAGCCTCTCCATGGACCACTTCTCAATGATGGAGGACACGTGAGGGTTGTCGATGTTAAGCAGCCGGAACCCAGTCATGTTTACGCCGCTGTACCTATAGAGTTCCAGATCTAAAGCAAATAAGTCCTGTGCAGTATTAAAAAAAAATGATAAAAGCAGAAAAGAATTAGCGCTTTCGATGTTCCTTAAGCAAAAGAGAATTAATGAGTGTAGAGGCAACAAATACAGTAGCTCCTCCCACCCCGTCTTTGGTTTTGTGATCCGTGGTTTGCGCTACCCGAGGTCAACCATGGTTGGAAAATATTAAATAAAAAATTCCGAAACTAAACGATTCAAAATGTTTAAATTGCCCACCCTTCTGAGTAATGTGAGGAAGGCTTGCACTGTCCCACTCCGTTCTGCCTGTGACATGAATCCTTCCTTTGTCCAGCATTTCCACGCCCTAGATGCCACCCACCCATTAGTCACGTAGGAGGTGTCTCAGATCAATTCTTGTGGTATGGCACTGCTTGGGTTCAAGGCACCCGTATTATATTTCATAATGGCTCCAAACCTCAAGAGTACTGTGCCGAATTTATAAAATAAACTTTATCCTAAGTATGCATGTATAGGAAAACATAACCTATAGAGAGTTTGGCATGATGCTAGGCTTCAGGCATCCTCTGGGGGCCTTGAAATGTATCCCTCTAGGACAAGAGGGACTGCAATAGATTAAAACAAAAATGCAGGCATATCATACCATTTCAATAAAATAACATATCCTGTGGTTTTTCATTCACATGCTGCCTAAGAAACTCTAAGGCAGTGAGCAGTTTTCATTTTCATCTATTTTTTGCAATATTGTTAGAGTTCGGATAAGCCAAGAAGAGGAGTTTGGCTGTTGATAATTAGTATGCCCTTGGGCACAGGATACGACTTTCTGAAAAGCTAAGAATTCTGTTCCTAGGATATAGTCTTTCTTTGGGGAGTTGGAAGCGATATTTATGTCCATTTGGTTCAATGCTTTTATTTTACAGATGAAGAAACTGAGGTTCTGGGTGGTGACGACCAGGCCAAGAATGAATCACTGCTCAGTGGCAGTACCGCTCTGCTTCTTCACCTCTTGCTGCGTTAGGCTGTTCTGGGTCTTGCCACAGAGGTGCAATTTGAAAATTGCATTTGCATCTGACAGGAAGATCACTCCTGGTAGAAATAAAGCATCTCCTGGATAACTTGAAAAGAACTCGTATCTCATACAATGAGGACATGAAGGATGCTTGCTGGACATGTGCTCAGAATGAGAATCACAGAGTTCTCTTCAGAGAATACACTGGAGCATATGCTTGCACGGGTGTGAGAACATCTTAACAATAGAACTCATTCCCTTTCAGAAAATGTTTCAGGAAAAAAAAATTCGTATTTTCTATTACAGATAAGGCGGTGTGTAAACCAGAAGTTTCTAAGTTGATTCATATTTAAAACAGACATGTGATAATTTCAACTTTTTTCTTATGTAAAAAGACTAAATGCAAAAAAGTATCACATTTAAGAAGAAACAAAACTTTCAAAATTACATTTAACAAAAAAACCCAAAAACCCTTCCATAAAAATTTCCTAACAATGTAACTGCTTTCTGAAAGTGCAATCAATACAAGACAGTACATTATCAGTGATGATAGTGGTTACTCAAGTGCAGCAGCTTCGGAAACACTGTCATTTGCATTTGCAGAAGATGCATACAAATTTATTCTTTTGACAAGCTCTTCTCTTTTCCAAAAGATCTTCAGACTAGGCAGTAGAACTGTGAGAGCACAGCGCTGTGCTCCTGAGTATCAGAAAAGGTGTCCAGTACTAATTTTTTTCTTTAACTTTTATTAATAGTCATGGACAAGAATAGTAAGAATATAAAATCCAAGCAGGGCAGAATGCAGAAAAAAAAATCAAAGGAAAAGAATAAAAGAAGCAAATTTAAAGAATAAAGCCCAAGAGAGAATGATTCCTTTAACATACTCAATGAATAGAGAAAAAGTTATTCTAGCTACAGGAGATCAGACAGAAACTTCCAGAATACATATTGAATCCGTCAGGGATCTAATAGTAAATAAATTCAATATGTTAAAATGAAATACATTAAACATATGCAAAATTAGGTTGAATTTGGAGTTTTCTATGCAATATAGAATTGGAAAGTCTAAGTTCTGATCCGTGATACCCCCTTGTGAGGGCAGGATGAGGACTGCAGAAATGTGAGGGGTGAAAGAACAAGAAGTGCACAACTGGTGCATCCTCAAGGGTCTCCACTGAGGACCATGCTTCTTAGTTTCCATTGTTCATACTCTTTTTCCAATTCCTCCAATGCCAGCTCTTTAGGGTGTGTACAGCTGGGGCTGGTAGAAAGTTCCAAGGCAGATGGCCATGTCACCTTGAGTAATCCCCGGGCGTTCACAGTGACAGGGGAAGAACCATGTTTGTGAGCAGAGCAGGATAGTTTGCAGTGTCCAAGGTTCTGAAAGAGGATGTGACCAGGATGCTGGAAGATTGGGTGGGGAGACCATGGAAACCTTAATTCAGGAACTCCGGCCATGCACCCCACGCTAAGTAGCAGTAATGATTTTGACAGCTATCCCAAAGCAGTTGTCTCATAATGTCCTCTCCACCCCTTTATTCTCTCAGAGACTCTTGAGTCACAAACAAAATTTGCTTCTTCTGTGAATGGTATAACAGCTCATTGGTTCATATTGCAAATTCTCTGAATCCCCTATTCTCTGGCTTGTCAGTTTTATTTGCTAAAATGGTAGTCAGTAATTACTGAGTCCCTCAGAACCTGGGTAGATTTTAGTTGACACATTCCTAAAAAATAGAAAAAAAGGTCAATTCTGTGTTTTCCTCTCATGTGAGCAAGTGAAATGTGTGAGGTGTGTGTGGGGGGCGGGGAGGTGGGACAGGCTGTCGCCGATTTCCGAAATTGGCTGAATGAAAGATATCATAATACTTTGAGGTGTCAAATGCCCCAAATTATTCTCTCTTGATCAGATGATCTATCCAAATTTAAGATGTCTTAGAGTTTCTTTTGGATTTCTAAAGTTTAAAACCATGATTTCCCTTAATAGTGCAGAACAATAAATGTGCAGAGCTTCTCCCAAATTCCTCTTCTTGAAGGTTTTCCAAACATGACAGGCGACCCCTTGCTAACTCAGTTATCTACTGGACACAGGCAGGGAAGCCACATCAAATCAAAGAATGCCAAGATACCCTTGGATCCACCTTCTAATGTACACAGAAATTGTAAATGATGCTTCTTATGAATAGTTTGTACTTTGGTAGTTTCTATTTAATGCAATTTTCATTTTAAGCCTTTTCTGAATGCATACACATTGATGCTAGTCAAAAAAAAGAAAAGAAGAAAACTACATTACTGGATTTAGAGGATTCTTAGAAAAGTAAGGCAAATCTCCATGGCAATATCCTGCCTTTGACACCAGTGGTGCTAACTTCAAAATAGCTGTGTAAAGATGTTTTCCATCATGTGGAATACACTTCTGCCAGATGCACTTACCAGGGTTGTGAAAAAGTAGTGATAATACTCAGTCATCATGCCCATGAACAGAATCTGCAAAAGAGAAACAAGGAGAAGGAATCAGGAACAGAATTCTAATAAGAAATGGATAATTACTAGGGTGACTATGAAAGCTTGGGGACATAGAACAGGAAGAGGCTTTGGAAATGCACAGACTCAGCAGATCAGAAACCTGAGGCCAATTAGTGGCTGGTGTGGATTGAGGCCACTGACCTCCAGCCAATACCCGTTTTCATTACACACTGCTTTGACTCACATCAAAGTTATCGGTCTGATGTTCAAATTTAAAAATAGTTTATGCTGAACAAATTTTATCTGTGGAGTTGTCTGTAATGGCACAGGGCTTTGTTTTTCCCACTGCCTGGGCTTCTGAGTGATCTCATACTTAGAAATATATATTTTATTGACCTCCATAGTCTTAGTACTTAGCACAAGCCTTCACTCAGAGTGGAATTCATTAAATGTTGAATTATGGCAATGCTGTTATGTAGATACGTGTAAGTGAGGATTTATAAATGAGTACATCTCTGAAACCTTTCTCTCTATCTCTTTTCCATGTTATCCCACAGAACGAGTAGGGGAAGAGACAATTAGTTTATAGATGGAAGGATGGGGACTATTCTTATACAAATTTCACACTGTCTCTTAATTCTGACTCTCAATTACCTGTTTGGGATCTTCATAGTTCTAGACATTCTGTGAGTGTGCATATTGTTCTTACTTTGTGGGAGAGGTGAGAGAGAAGAGGTGAATAAAAAGGACAGGGGTTCTAGGTAAAGGTAGGTCATTAAACTGTTATCTTATTTTAGGATTCCCGGAAATGGTGTCAACTGAGAAGTCACAAATGGTTTGGAGATAAGCTCTTCTTTCTCAGTCTTCTTAATAAGGATGTCACCTTACATGGGGCATGTTAACAGAATGTACTATTTGGGTGCTACTTTTTGGTCTTTGTATAGAAATAAATAGAGATGATTCAGAAATCACATTTCCAAGTTAGTTTTCCCCAACTCTGGTCAATTCAAGATGCAAGTGAGAATAACCTCTGGGAGTTTTAAAATCAGAGTCTTAGGCTCCATCGCAGAGACATCCTACATTAGAATTTCTGAGAGGGTAGCCTGGGTTTCTGTATTCCACATCCGTGATTGAGAATCACTCCTCTATGGAAAACATGTCCATTTGCATTAAAGAACAAAGACTTTCAGATGTTCGATTGAAGAGATGGATTGAAAAGGTCTGGAAAAAGGCAGCACAAGTTACCAGAGGTCCTAGAAGGTACCTAAGATATGTAAACTAGAATGATTTTACATGAAAGGGAATAAAGAATAAAGAGGGTATTTGGTGGCAGCACATAACATAACGCGAACACCAATCTGACACTTCTTAACACTGTTTCCACTAACGTGGAAACCAGAGGAATATTTAGTGAAATTGTAATGTCATGAAGATAAGACAAATGACAGGAAACTCTCTCCATGAATCATGAGCCTACAGCATGTAAGTCACTCCTATGATGATAACAAGACCAGGCGCACAAAAGGATTTTTAAAAGGGTAGACTTGCTTTAAGGCCATCAATAACATTTAAAGCCATGCATGGTGAGGTCTTGTTAACTGGTCTCTTATATCATTCGAGCATAAAGAGCTGGCCTGCCAGGGTCAGTCAGGAATCCAATTTTTCACTTTGGTCATTAGATCGCGTAATTGCAGCCGAGACTACCTCTTGAAAGGGAACTGGACAAGTTTTATGTTTAGATATACAGCCAGATACAAAGGTTTTAAATATTGTTTCTGAAACTGAAAATAAAACACAAAGGCATCTGAATCTACCACTTTTCACTTAGGCAAAATTTTCTTTCTTTCTTTTTTATTTTGGCATATTATGGGGGTACAGATTTTAAGGTTTCAATAAATGCCCTTTCCCTCTTCCCCCCACAAGTCTGAGTCTCCAGCATGACCATCCCCCAGATGGTGCACATCTCACTCATTATGTATGTATTTACCCATCCCCCTCCCCCTTGCCCAATACCTTATTACTGTAGTACATATGTTTTCTTTTTTAAACTGATCATGGAAGCTTTTGATCCCCTGTTGAGAGCATTTTTTTAACAACCATTTAACTAATTATTTTTTTATTATTTTTAAAATAATTTCTGGAGGCAAAAATGTATTTGATATGGCTCTTATTCAGTGTTAGGAAAGGGATGAAAATGCAATGAATAAACAGCCAAAAGGTCCACTTTTATTGCAGAAGAACCCCTGGGTCCTCCAGGTATAATTTTTATTTGCTGTACTAGAAAAAATCTCTGTTTCCTTTCCTAGCTAGCTGTTTGGATCAGTGCCTCCTGGTTCTTCTCTTGAATTTACTAGAAATGGAAATTAAGAAAGCAGTATGGTCATTGATCATTGGCTTGTCAACTTTGTGAACACTCTAGGATTCAGGTGAATGAAAAACTTCTAGGTCAGAACACCCAAGGCAATGGTACCAAAGGTGGTGCTTTTAAAACAATTGCTATTATAATAGTCTGTAGACTGCTTGGAACCAGAATCCCTGTTGTCTCCTAGTAGCATACTTCATAAATGTAACTATTGCATTCACATTGTGATTTTCTCTCTGGATGTTGGTATTTCAACTAGAAGTCATTAAGGGATTAAGGAAAGGTCACATCAAGATAAATGTCAGTTTTAAAAATAAAAACTATAATCATGATATGGGGAGTTTTCTAATAGTTCTTTGCAGAACTGATTTTTTCCTAAGAAAGACTACCTTCTTTGGATTTTGGTACTGTACTTGTCTGCTGAACTGACAAAGTGGTGCTGATCTTGGCAGTATATATACTATACCAAGGGAGTATTGCTAGAAACTAGTTCTGGGACTGTTTAAATCATTTTTATTGACACAAAACACATTATATCATACATACTAATATGGAATAAATGTGGCTATCAATACTGATCATATTTATAGCATATTTTGCCTAATTGTGTCCACTAATATGTTCTAATAATGCTTGTTTCCTAATGGAATTAGGCTTATTAAATAACTTTTGACATCTTGTCATTCATTGTCTTTTGATGACACTATGTGTCTAAAATAGGCAGGGTGTTGAATATCTGCTACCCCTCTTGATTTTAGAAGATGCCTTGTGTGGACATCATTACCACTGTTTGCCAATTTTCCAATTCAAAGGGCACAAACTAGAGTTGCATTTCCTGGTCCCTGTGCTTGGGTAGGGCTATGTGCTGGTTCTGGCCACCCAGGTGGGAACAATACCGACATGTGTCACCCTCCAGAGATCTCACTCCTCCAACACATGACTAGCATTGTTATCAGTGCCAGAACAAGCTGTCTTTTTTGAATACATTTATCTATTTCATAAAAACCACGAGTCATGTAAATGATCTTGTTTACAACTTTGTTTTGATTGCTAGGAAGTTTAGGGTCAAAATTGTGAGTCCTTCATTAGCAACTGGTCAGGGCCATAGGGTAATATATTCTACGTGTGCTAATGTCATCCAGCTGTATGTTTTTCTTACCTAGTTTCCCCCGTTGTGCCAAATCTCTACTCCTTACAAAGATATTTATGACTTTGTTTCAAATTTTTTTTTCTGAGCTGCTCTAATTCTTTGTAGATTAAAGATATTAAAAATAAATAAAAAAAATCATGATTGGGACAAGAACAAATAATTTTTTCCCATGAAAAGAGGTGAACTCTTCAGATCTGATGTGCTGGCTTAGGTTAGAGTAACAAAAAAGAAGGCCTCCCACAAGATAGTGTTTTCTTTCCTCCCCTTGCTCCAGGGCTCACCATTCATAGTTAATCATAATTGATACTGCTGCAGAATTAATTATAGGAACTTAAAAGAGACCAATACCAAAAGACTTAAAGACTTGCAGACTTACGACATTCCATCTTATCTAGGTAACATAATCCTTAAACCAGCAAGGGAAAGGGTGGCTTGTAAGTATTGTAATGTTTCCTCTGTATTATGCTACTAAGGATGAAAATACCACAAGACTATATCATTGTTTCAGTTGTTATAAAATAACTATTATTTTCTTTTCATTTGTAGTTAAACTTGTTCATCAAAAGGCAGAAACTCAATGCCAGTCGGCTCTTGAAAGGATAATTCGAATGGTCCCACTCTTTATCAATACACCCTTGGACACAGTCATTGCTCATTAACAATAGTGATCCCACATTGGTCCAGCTGCTTTTTGGAAGTTTTTTTGATGGAACCTTCATGCCTTGTTCACAGTAGCATTGACCCTCCTTGCTCTAGCCTTGTTCTTGGCAAAGATGAGCTCTTAGATTTTGATGGGTGAAGTGTTCAAGTACAGACAGCCTGAGCAGCAGCAAGACCATAATTTAGTTCGTCTTGCAAGTCCTCATTGAAGTCTAGATGAAGATGTTGAAGAAATAGTTTGTAGGGGGTCTAATGCCTGTACTTGGTGACAGAGTCATCCTATGAGAATCCCAGAATGTCTTTGGATCAAACTTTTCCAACAAAAGTTTTGTGTATCCTATGAAGCTTGTACCATATTTCAATCTGATCATTTCCTAGATGGCAATGCAGTGCTGTGGAGAGAGCAATAAAAGCAAAAAACTCTTCCCCACAAATTCTCAGCATCCATCACTAAAGGCAATCCATATGTCACAAATAATTGGCATTATGCTGCTGTTGTAGCAGAAACTTAAAATGCAACCTGGAGTGATCCTAAGCAATTTTGAGGCATTCTTGTAATACTTATACTTTTTTTTTTCTTTTTACTGCTTTCTTCCATTGAAAAATAGGCATGTTGGAAGTTTATATTGACTAACCTGAAGTATATTTCTCCTTTTATAGCCTTCACAATATCAGGATGAATTCTAAACCACCAGACATGGTTTGTAGTCAATAATTTCAAGTAAATAACTTGTGAACATGCAATGTGGCTAAAGTAATAGTTTTTTCCTCAAGATAGAAATAAGTTTTTCAGCATTGACATCTTCAGGAAACCAGTTGAATAGTATCAAGTCTCAGAGCAGCAATTTT